GTTCGCCTGGGCGTACCTTGAGTTCGTAGAAATCATCGAGAGAAGTCATTGTTTACAAAGGCTGTTACACCCTAATTCCAGCTCTATCTAGATGTTCTAAAACTTTTGAAGACGCAATTTTTACCGTCCAAAACTTGGCGATACCTTTTGCCGAGCTAGAGTAATTGACGATTTTTTTTCTTTCATTAAAATACCCCCTTTTTAAACGTTAATACATCAGGTTAGGGCAGTCAAACATTATGACGACATTTGAAAGGGGGTCCCTAATAAACGGGTACCATACACTAACGATATCATAGATGGTGCGAGCATCCCACTTTAAAGTTGGGATGATATCCCGAATTGGTGGTTAGGCGCTTCTTATGGTTATTGTTTATGCGGGGTATATTATTCTATATAATATCCAACAAATAGTAACAATTGGACTTATTTTTTTTTTAATATAACTGGGTAGAACTTCTTTATAAAAAGAGATAAAAAAAGGTGATTTTATAATAAAACATGAATATTCTGAGATCTTGGTTGTATTGATACAACTTGTAAAAACAAAATATAGAACTTAAAGGAAATTCATAAAGCTTCGAAAATAGATTAGGGAACTTTATAGATGCTCAAGGAACATTTTATGAGTTATAAGAAATTCGTGCAGGTTGAGCAAACTTGGTTTAAATTCAGTTCTAGTAGCTACGTAAAATCTTCGTAAAATTTCAAAACAACATCTCATGAAGCTTCAAAAGTCACTAGATGATGATTCTAGATGTCTGTAGAAATTTGAATTCAAACAGTTAAACACAAAAGATGGTTTTCAAAGTTGCTTAAATTAGCTAAGCTACAACTTTGCCGTAGAATAATACCTTTATTTCTACTAATAAAAAAGTTAAATGTTTGATTTCAATGATAATAAGAACCACCCTACGATTAATTGCGTTGTTTAGGGGTATTGAGGTAAAAACATATTTGTTATCTGCATTTAAAATGGAACCGAAATCCAAAATTTCATCAATTTTGGCACACTGGCACTATTTTAAATAATTACGATTACATTAGCAAAAATCACCAGCTTAGCGCCCCTTGGTGGGACTTTGTATGGGAGCGAGCTGCCAGTTTGTCATTTTAGTGTCAAACAGTGAAATTATTATTTTGCTTTAAATCTTGATTTAAAAATCGAGATGAAGTGTATGGGTTCGAAAAAAATATCGCTGTGCTCAGAAAACGAAGCCCTTTCAGATGATGTATAAAAACCGATATATTTTTTTTCAAAATTAAAGAACCCAATTGACACCAACATGAGCGCTTAACTTGTAACTATGTAGAAGTAACTATGTTAAAGACACTTTTTACAGGGTGGCCAGCAAACCGGGAAAACCGGGAATACCGGGAAATATCCGGAAATTTGAAAAGTAACCGGGAAAACCGGGAAAAACCCGGGAATTCGGTGAGAGAACCGGGAAAATAAATTAACCATACCATAGGATAAACCAGAATTTCAGAATAAATCATTGAAACAGAGTTATCCTTTACCAAATGAATGTCTTGCTCTATTTGCTGCATAATTTTTTTCAGTTTCCCGTGTTATTGTTTTTAGAATTTAATCACTCAGCAATATTGAAAATTGATTTTTGTCGTCTTAATTTCAGATGTAAAGTGCATGGTCCTCAAAAGAAAATATTGAAGATGCTGGACTTTCAAAGCAAATATTTGTAAAAACCAAAATTGAATTATTCTTTTCCGGGGGTTTAATTTTTCGTTGTTCAAAATTCTCATGACATGAAATCCAGAATTAACTTGGAATTCGGCTCTGAATTATCTTGAAATTGTTCTCAAATAAACCAGAAGACACTCCGCGTAATAATTGCCGTTGAATTCCTTTTGGAATTTCCTTGCAACCCCGTCTAAGAATTTAATTGGAATGCTTCTTAGAATTCCCTTAAGCCTATTCGGAGACTTTGATTCCTTTGAAAATATTTTCAAAAATTTCTTTTAACTTTATTCAAAACAGCAGAAATCTTTCGAAATTTTATTTAGAAACCCCTTGGAGTATTTTAAAGAATTTCTTTCTAATTCTCAAAATTTTTTGCAATAAATTTTGTTGGAGTTCTGTGATGAATCTTCCGCACTAGGGTTGAAATTATGTCCAGCACAATCTAAGAACACTGTTTCTTGTTGAATTCTGATCATAATTCTCTTGGAATTCTTCTTAAAATTCATCTCTAATTTTCTTCACAATACCCATACAAATCTCATCAGAATCACGTAGGAATTTTCCGCAATGTTATGTTTTTGACAACTCCTTTTTAAATCTTCTAAAATTATCTAACAATTTAATTTAGAATTTGCATTCTTCTCCACAGAAATCCTTCCAAATTCATCTAACAATTATTAGGGTTTTCATGTCAGAATAATTCTGGAAATCTGCTCAAAACTTTTCCTTCGAAAACTGTGTGGGAATCTTTCTCAATATTTGTTTGAAATCAAAACTTTGAATTCTTTTAAAATTTACTAAAAAAACCAGGGTTTGTCCGCTAGATTCTATAGATTGTTATGTAATTTGTTATAACCCTTAAAATGCTTCCAAGTCTCAGAGCGTGACAATTATGACTCCACGACTCATAAGTATTATATATATTTAATTTTTCATATCGGTTATCTTGATTTTTTTTCCAAAATCTCACATTTTAATTATTTTTACTCCAAATCTTGCATCACAAAGATTGTTAGTTATCACAAATTTTGAAAAAAAGTTCTAGTTTCAGACACTACTCAAATTTTAAAGCCCCAGAATCTTGGGAATCTTCTTAAATCATATTTTTTGTCCTTTTAGTAAATTCCTTTCAGAGCGTTCCTAAAAATGCGTTCAATTTGGTTTTTTTGTTTAATATTTACAACCGGGAATTTGTTAAGATTTAAACCGGGAAAACCGAGAAAAAACCGGGAATTTCAAAATGAAAATTCACTGGCCACCCTGTTTTTATCTAATGTTTCAATTTCAGGCTCTAAATGCATCATCCTGTTAAATTCCCATTCTGGACTACACACTAAGATTATTTCACCGAAATCTGTGAAATTTTACCGAAATCTCAACAGCTGAACTTTCGGTAAACAGTACGGTGATTTTTCACAGATTTCCTGTAATTTTGCACCGAATATCTTACCAAACGTTCAGCTGTTGAGATTTCGGTAAAATTTCACAGATTTCGGTAGAATAATCTGAGTGTGTACTGTGCATCGGCGTAGCTAATGGGAGTGCTTAGGGCCCCCTTCAGAATGAACTAGGCAGGCAGAATTTTTTGAAGATTTATATAATTTAAATTGTTGGTATAAGAATCACTAAAAACATCTGCATTCGGCTTGGAACATTCTGGATGGGGCAGACACTCTAGGCACCCTCATTAGCTACGCCAATACCAGATGGTAAACTATCTATTTATCGGTATGGGTAAAGTTTTTCCTCATTCATGCCAAATGGCCATTATGCCGAACGGACTTCTAGGCTTTTGACGCTTCTATTGCGAGCGTTTTGCCGGCTCTCATCTTAGTGTTCTAGATCAGTTCCACAGTGATTAATTGAGAACTGTCTATACGGCCAATGAGAACGATCCAAATTTGAGTTTAGTTTACTCATAAATAACAAAAAGTGCATGAACTCAGCGATGAGTATATTTCCCTCATGTTTTTCCAGGTTTATCCAGGAAAAAAAAATCCCGAATATGAGAAAAGTCTAGATTTGATTCACCCAGTCTATTGTTACTACTCCTACACGGCCAACCAAAACAACTCAGCGACTGAATTCAATTGACTCATAGCATTTTCTTTCCCTACGAAATTTACTCATATTTGGAAAAACCTACCTATGAGCAACTGCAGGTTTTTCCCAATATGAGTAAATTTCGTATGGAATGAAAATGCTCCGAGTCAATTGAATTCAGTCGCTGAGTTGTTCTGGTTTGCCGTGTAGGCAGATTTTTGAGGTTTTCCACAGGAAAACATGAGGGAAATCAACTCACCGCTGAGTTCCTGCACTTTTTGCGATTTTATGAGTAAACTGAACTCAAATATGGGTCGTTCTCATTGGCCGTGTGAGCCAACCAATGCATACATTTTTCATTTGAAATTGTGTGGCAGCACAATGATACTCTATGCCAGGGAAGTCAACACAACTTCCGGCCCGAAGGATTTCCTCGACCAGGAAATACCAAGCTTAAGTGAATTCATTTCACTTTGATTTCGACATGCACGGCCTATGAGATCAACCTAAATAGGAGTTCAGCGATGGGTGAATTTGTCAATTTTCCTCATTCAGGCAGATCTTTGAGGTTTTCCACAGGAAAGCATGAGGAAAATTAACCCATCGCTGCGTTCCTGCACTTTTTACGATTTATGAGTAAACTGAACTCAAATTTGGGTTGATCTCATTTGCCGTGTGTTACTTTCAATTTTCGGATTTAAATCGACACTAGTAATGAGCTGTACAAAATCACGAATCCTGCTGCTAAGTAAATTACAAACCATTCCCCTATATAACCCGAATGCTACGAATGCTAACTAACTCTAAATATGCGACTAACAACAACCACTGATGCATGCAACTAATAATGACAACTAGACAATTATAATGCTTTTGGAAGAACGTTCCCTCCCCCGCGTGTTAACTTTTGGTTACAGTGTGTGCTTCTAAGTACTTTCCTAAATGCAGTTTACCTGAACAAAAATATTCAATGACCATTGGTTCGGTTGAATGTGAATCGAAAAGTGACCATGATGGATGATATTTTTCTACTTTATTGTAACGTGCACCAATTGTGAATGTGCCGTAAAGAGTAAAAGATGAACGTTACCGAGTAATTTCGTTCGTAAGAAAACGCTGAAAAACTAAATGATCGTTTCTATCTCTCTCGTTGTTCCCTTCCATTCCCGGTTTGATGAACGAAAACAAACCTCGAAATGCAATGCAAAAATACGAATCCAAAACCAAACCAAAATGCAATATGAATACAAAACAGTATCTCAGCCAACGTCGGTGGTGACGTCCCCGGCTCAGGCTTCGTCCACAATCACATCGATCATCCCCAATACTCATCCATCGCAGCACCATCACATTCAACCGAAAATGGAACAGAAATCTCAGATACATCATCTTCCGATTCCCCATCAGCATCAGGCTCACCAGTTGCACCACCACATCTCGGCGCCGATGCATCTGCCCCCACCAAACCCCCAACAGTTGGCAGCGCTCGCCCTGCATCATCAGGTGGCCCAGCAACAACAGCAACAACAACAATCCTCACCCTCAACGGGCCGACCACAGCCTTCTCCTCGTACATCACATCCGCCGCAGCAGCAGCAGCAGCCGCATCCACAGCAACAGCAGCAGCCGGGGCCGCCCCAGGTCCCCCAGGGCCCCCCGGGCCCCCCGGAAAACCCACAGCAGGGCCAACTGCCGCAGCCGCAGCAACCGGGCCCGGGCCCAACTGGACCCCTGCCACCACCACACCATACGGTCCCGGTTACTATTATAACCCACGCTGGCACAATTAATCCGATGCCGGACGGCCTGAACAATCGGGTTGGCACGATTCAGATGCACCACCTGAATGCGGCCCAGTCGGAGGAACACACGGTGGTTTACTGAGCCAGTAACCAGGAAACATTAACACGTTTGTAGTAGAATGCGCATGCGCTCCTATGACTCCAATGACGACAACACAAAAGCAAACGATGCGTTCAACTTAAAGAGGGAGGATTTAAAAGTACAGATTTGCAATTAGTAGTTTTTAGAACAGAACAAACACACCTTTCTAGGAGGAACATTACTTGTAACCAGTAATAGACATAGTGGAAAACTTGTATGCGACAAAAGGAAAAAAGTACTAAAAACAAATATGTAATTATACAATTATATATACACAAAACAACAGAAAACAAACAATAACAAAATGATGGATAACATATTGGATCGATATCAGATATCGATGAAAAACTAACTAAAAGTAATAAGGTAAACATAATATATAAAAAAAAAACAAACAGCAAGAGTTGGAAGAACAGACACACAAAATAACGGTAATATAGAGAAAAGTAACAAAATTGAAAATATGCTAAAAGTGGACATATTGAGATAATATATATATTGTAGTGGCAACAAATCCAACACAAAGCAAAACTGACTGTTTACAACGTTCTTTTTTGTTCGATACGTGCAAACAGCAGCAGCCAGTCGTGATAGAGAGTAACCCAACAGACACCGTTATAAAACAAAACAAAACATAAAGCAGTGAATAATGAATAAAAACAAAACAAACAAAAACCCTTAGGTAAAGCTATTACAAGATGATCATAGAAACCAATACTTAAGCAAGTAAGCAAATTGTTGAAAATAGGTGAAATAAACAAATAGTAATTGATTTTACCCCGCAGTTGAATAAAGTAAAACAAGTTAATCAGAGAACTGAACGAAGGAAGGTTGCTGGACAAACTCAAGCGAAATAAAAAAAAACTAAAATTGGAACACACGTTTTCGGAAAGGGAAATCAAAAGAGATAGGATGCAAGTTCGATTCGAGCCTGAACTGCTGAAGCAAAGGATGAAATGAAAAAAAAAACAACAACAGTTGCGAACAAAGTAAGGCAACACTAAATGAATAGTACAACAATATTAAACAGTAACTATTAATTAGTAGAGAAACAAAAAAAAAAAAACAAATGATCGTTTGGAAACTAAGAGCACCACAAACTTGAGGGAAGTTTTAATAGAAAACACAAAATGAGAGAGAGAGAGAGTGCGTATTCAACACAAACAAAGTCATACTAACTTCATCCTCTTCGCGCCCGTTTAACAAACATACTAACTGGAAAAGTCGCCATATTTGCTGCCGCCATAAATGAAGAGAACGGACATTGGAAAAATAACTTGTCACTCCATCAACACACCAACACAACAACTCTGTAATAGTCTTACACCTAGAAGAACTCAATTCATCATCACCACCACCACCCCATCATATTTTACCAGAACCGAACGATACACAAACAATAGGTACACTGATTATAATTAGCCGAGAGCGTATCCGCACGCACCTGCGGTAAAACTCAAACCAATACAAACACCGATCACAGACTCAGCACACATACACACACTCTCAATAGTAGCGTGTAATAGAATGGAAAGCAAACACAATAGAACATAACTAACCCCTTCAATTTCCCCCAGAAAAGAAAAACAGCAGAACAATTATTTTTCTACATGTCTTGTGTGTTTTTGTAATACTGAATAATGAAGTGTGAGAGAAAGAGAAGTAGTGAAGAGAGGGAGACCCGACGACGATAGAAGGAGAGCGATTGAGATTCGTTTTTTTCCTCACTGATTTTTCACCACAGAACAGAACAGGTTTTCATTTTCAATCACTTTCTATGCCACTATCGTGCAAATTCGCGTCGAAATACGTGGATTGGCGCGCGTGCACACAACCCAGCAGCAGGAGGATTTTTCTGCAATTGAGCACAAAAGTTCGCCTCTGCCGCCGTGTGCTTTATTTAACCATAACTTAACAATAGTTCCATAGAATCTATAAACAATAGTAACCAGTTTTATCCACACACGCATACTACGCAATAGAGCATAACTTTGCGGGAGGTCGGTTCCGACGGGGCTGCCTACCTAGGTCCCAGTGGGAAACGATTCCCCAAACAGCTACAAACTATACTAATTTTAATTCATACAGAATAAAATAGTCAGGAAAAGATTCTTCTTCTGATAATAAACCAGAGAAAAAAAATGTAACTGAGAGAGATAATATAAATGTAAGCTACAAGAGCCCCCAACCCTAACTAAGGCAGTACTGTTGATATAGAAAGACACTCACTTAATTAGGCGACCGACAAAGAGAAAGAGAGAGATAGAGAGATAGAGTGAGTGTTTGAACCCACAACAACTGATGTAGAAACAGAGAGTTTGAATTTCAACCCCAGATGTAGGCATTGAAGTCTTTTGTTTAACATATTTTCACACTACGATTTGAGTTGCATTTTTTACCGTTTTTTCTTTGATATAAGCACAACCATAACAATAAACAAACCAACAAACAATAAGCAGATCAGTATAGAACCACCGTAAACTACAACAACAAACAAACCAACAACAACAACAACAGCAGCAGCAGCATTAGAAGCAAACCAACAAACAAACAATAGGAAGAGTAATACAAACTTGTATACCAATAACTCAGCAGAAACACAAACACACTCACTGTCAATATGGGGGGTACCGGATCAAACCCGGAACCCCGCACAGCAATAGCAGAATCAAACAGGGGGAAGCTCGGAACGGCAGATGGTAGTCTGACTTCCGGGCTTCCGCAGCAGGACAAATGGACAATTTCAATCGTTCTAGGGTTTATTTGATTAAATCGATTTTCGTTTCACTTTTGCGTTGATTTCATTCATACTCACAAAGACTCTTTAAAACCAACGATTTTCGTTTTGAATTTTTCGTTTTGTTTTCATGCAAATTCCATCGAATGACAAACATCTTTAGGGCGGCCAATTTGAATAGTTATATTCCGCGCGTTTCAACTTACAGGCTCATTTCGGACTTGGGCAATAATGTTTCAGTAGTTTTACCGAATGAAAGCAATGAAAAAAGAAAAATCGCGAATCCATTTTCAGCGGTGCATGTGTGGCGTGCGCGAATCCAATATTCATAGTTCATAGTATAGTCATTGACGTGTGTGTATGTATCCCATAATTGTAAAGCATTGTGTAGACTTTTTCGGATAAGCAATCGAAATTATAAGGGCCGGTCCCTTCGAAGTTCATGATCTCAATTCACTTTTTTCGTCATCATCTCATTCATAAGCCATGTACGCGGTCGTACGGTTAGGTTATTTAGTCAAAAAACAAGACTCTCGCTTGGAACATTTTGTAAAATTTCTAGAAACGCGCTCCAATGTGCTGAGCACATGGAAAATCAACGAGTCCCGCACGCCACATGTCATCCACACAAAAAAAAACAATCAAAGAAGGTTGAAACGCGCTGCAATATAGTCGAGCAACTTTTGAAAGACTTTTACTACTACTACTACTACTACTACTTTCTAGTCATTTTAGCAGCTCCTTTATCACGATCTTAGCAAAGAAAAAGGAACAAACAACACGCCGAAATTCTGCGATCTCCAGCGCTCGTTTCGCTCACGAACCGAGCGCAGAACATCTCATGCAGAACGGACGCAGTCAGCCAATTTAAACGAGGAGAAACATCTTTGGAAGAAGAATTTTTATTACTCTTTTGATTTTGGGCAGAAACCCGTTCAACCGAATCAGCAAGCATAACGATATACAGCAACAAATCACAACAACCAACGGTAGCAGCAGCAGCAGCAAACAGTAATTGGAAAATGAAATGTTTTCACCACAACACAACAATCTTCAGTTTTCATGCATCTTTTTTCTTTTAAAAATAAAGAAAACACTCACACACAAATGTAGGTACTCACACGCCAATGCGATGTTAGGAGCGGAAATCGTTTCGTCGAATGTGCTGTATTTTGCGGTGAAGTGATAGACAAGCGCATTGCCATTGGTATTGCTAATCTAGTCTAGTCGAGCATTTGATTTGCACGGAGAGTCACTTCACACGAGGAGACAGACTCCCTTATTCTGTGAGTCACGTGACTCTCTGTCATCGGTGAGGTCAAAATTGTCACCTCATGTGGGGTGACTCTCCGGGCATACAAATGGAGAGTCACCTTACACGAGGTGACAATTGTCACCTCACCGGTGAGAGAGAGTCACGTGACTCGCAGAATAGGAAGGAGAGGGGGAATGGAATAAGGGGGGATAGTCGAGTAGTTTTTGGACGGTCTTCTACCAGTGATTTTATGAAAATGAGGCAGTTCATTTCGTATTTTTTAGGCCTATCATAAATAAGTTAAGTGTTTTTGAAGTTCTTGAAGATTTTTTGAAAAAGTATTGCTCCATGTTAAAGTTCGAGTGGTAGGCAACAGCGATTTCACAAAACTGGACCAAATAATTTATATTTTTTTATGAAACGCACAAATGTTGGCTACTTTTCTCGAGGTTCTGGAAGAAAAAATCTCAAAATAATGTTTTATTTCAAAGTTCGAGTGGTAGTAAACGTCATTTTAAGTGCTCGAATAAAATGGTTAATTGAATTCATTTGGAATTTGAGTGGTAGGTAACCCTATTTTAAACTGTGTCATGAGATTAATGTATCAAATAGTCGAGTAGTTTCGGTTCTACCTAATACCAGAGTATTTTTTTTAGAAATGTGGAACTAAATTCCAGATTTTTTAACGTCAATATAAACTGCTCAAATGGTGTTAGTAATTGACCACTTTGTCAAGCAGTTTCGGCGTGACTTTCTACCAGCGATTTCACAAAACTGGTTCAACTAATTTCTATTTTTTTATGAAACGCACAAATGTTGGCTACTTTTCTCGAGGTTCTAGAAGAAAAAATCTCAAAATAATGTTTCATTTCAAAGTTCGAGTGGTAGTAAACGTCATTTTATCTGCTCGAATTATGTTAGTAATTAATTAGTTATTCAAGCAGTTTAAAATTAGTGCTGTGACGTGGGCGTATTTATCGATAATATCGATATCGGTCTCTGAAAATATCGATATCATTTTGATATCGTATTTTGAATATCGATATCTCGGGTCTGATATCCAATAAGCAATGGAAAATACATTAAACATATTTCATTCACTTCCAACTTCATAATGCATGTGGAAAATCAAAAACATCGACATTACACAAACAAAAGTATTTTATCCGCTCTTCGAGGCTACATCACTCAAAATCCGCCGTGTTTTTGAAAATAAACGGTTCCAAGAGACCGAGATTGTAATATTTGACAGTAGTTTCCGATCCACCTGGAGTTCTATACCACTCCTCACGTACCTACATCTCAATATCTGATCAAAGCCGTCCACTTGGTTATCCTTCAGTTATTATTGCGTTGAATTATTACCTCGTGATAACTCCATACCAAATTATCGGTAGACATCTTTCCCATTGGCTCATCACGAACAAATTCTGCGTTACCAGATCCTTCAACTGTCGATGATTATTAACATCAAACCGATTTCGAATTTCGATTATCGTTGATATCGCATTTTTGAATACCGGTTATCGTATCGATAATTTAGACCCAATATTTATCGATAATATCGGACTTATCGATATCGTCACTGTTCTATTTAAAATGTCATTTCCTACCAATCGAACTTTGTCGTGGAACATTATTTTGATATTTCTTCTGCTAGAATTTCGAGAAAATAGGGTCTTATTTATGCTAAGCTTAAAGAATTATTGCTTCCTTTTCTTAAAATCGCTCACAAAGCTGCTCGACAACATGATTAATTAATCACTTATTCGAGCAGTTTTGCGACAACCTTGTTTAGAAAATGAGTCAGATCGCTATCAAGATTTCAAGCCTTATCATAAACAAAACCCTTTTTTCTCATTGGTTCTAGAAGAAAATTTCTCGAAATTTTGTTCCGCCATGATGTTCGAGTGGCAGGAAACCCAGTTTCAAACTGCTTAAATGATGTTGAAAATCACTAGCAAAATTCGAGTAGTTACAAATAATTAAAATTGCTGAAATAGAAAGTTACCCAGAAACTCACTCCTATTCTATGCTGCGTTCAAAACGGATTTCTCATACAAAACAATCTTTTTTAATGGGAACGTTTTGAACGAAATAGAGGACTTCACGGTGAATACGAAGTGAGATGACAACTTTTCACTCACGGTGAAGTGATTCCCATTTGATTTACTCGGGTATTCCTTCACCGTGGATGACAACTTGTCACTTCACTTCGTTTTCATCGTGAAGTGACACCCGTAATAAGCTAAGAGAAGAGGTGACAATACGGGGGCGAAAATGAACCACTTTTCTGTCAAACGTGAACCAGCTCCTGATTGGCCGATGTCATGTGCGTAAGATAGAGATAGAGATATAAATAAAAGAGGAAGAAGTCAATTGTCACCTCTTCCTCTTAGGTAATAAGGGCCAGAGAATAGGGTTGACTGCTTAATAGCAGGCTTGCTGAAACTCCTCAAACTCACTGGAGGTTCTAAAACACTCTTGTCCTGCGAGTTTATCCAGCCCTCACCTCGAGTGAGTGGCGGCAGGAATATGGAAGAAGTTCCTTTATTTAACGTCGGTCTCTGTTCCGCAATCTAGTGCCAATCACCGACGGACATCGATTGCCATCCATTGACGGCAATCGAATGTGCAGGAAGGCAGCTTCCACACCTGCGTAGGATATCGCACCCATTCAACACACATGGGCCGGGACCAACGACTTTACTTCCCTTCCGAAGGAAGACGTGACCAGAGATTAGGGCATATGGAAGAAGTAAACAAAAACTCCTCGAGAGAGAGGGATAGTGAACTTCAGCGAGAGGATGATTTTGACGGGAGGTGCTCTTTTCGAGACTCCGGATGACTTTTTTTGTTCGACGCAAGAAGCTCAGAGTTCACCCAGAGTGAGAGTAAGAGCGTGTGATAGAAAACATGAACATGAATGGCAGCAAACCTGACTCTCATTTTATCCCCCTTCGCTCACAAGCTCTGAAGCTCAGTGGAATGATTTGGCAGTAGCCATTCTACTCCTCAGAAAAATGCTACGCTCGGCGTATTTCAAACTCGCGAGCGAGGCTCCATCAAGCGCCTGCTTAATAGATTCACTTACACGGTCGTAGAATCTGACTCAAATTGGAGTCCTATATAGTCAGTTTTGCTAAAACCACGGTTATTTAGAGAAGGAGTAAACAACTGCTCGAATTTGAGTAAATGTCACTCATCCGACAAAATTTTGCTCAAATATGAGAGTAATTCCGCACATTCTGCGAATCGTGTTGCTCTCTGTCACTAGCGAGGTAACACGATTTGCAGAATGGAGGGATTTATTCAAATTCGAGCAGATTTTACTTAGTCTATGAGTAACCGTGCTTTTAGTGAAAGTAAGTGAACGGAGCTCAACTTTGAGTCAGATTCAACGGCCATGTACACGCTATTTCAAAACTACCCAAATTTAGGTAGAATCCACCCAGATCGGTCAAAACTGAAGCTACCCAAAGATGGGCAAACTGTGTTGGGAGTGACAAGTTGACAAATGAACAAAGTCGATCGGATTCATGTCAATGTTGTTCATTTGTCAACTTGTCACTCCCAACACAGTTTACCCATTTTTGGATAGGTGCAGTTTTGACCGATCTGGGTGGATTCTACCCAAATGTGGGTAGTTTTGAAATGGCGTGTAGAAGGGCACAACTGAGGGTCGACTTTCTATCAGCGGTTTCTTAAAAATGTCGACCCTTATTTTACCGATGTCACATCATGGTGAATACCACCACCTACGGTAAAGTGATTTCCATTTGATTTACACGGCGATCAATTCACCGTGAAGTTACACTCGTAATAAGGACCGTCATGAGATTATTTCAATTACAACTACATTTCAAGCTTGAAGTTGGTTACAACCAGTGCTGCAAAATATCAATTTCAATATCTACAAAATGCTGAAAATCACTAGCCACTGATGTCAGTATCAGTTCACACATTTAGAATATTACAACCAGTGCTGCAAATTATCAATTTC